GTAATGTGTTTCTTTTATATATTTGCCCTCTTGGGGAGATTATTAAAAGCTTTACTAAGTGTCATACCATTTATATGCGGATGGTATTCAACTGTACTGCTCTTTCAAGGACAAAGAGTTTAACAAGTTAGCTGATCTACTTGATTGCATTGAGCGTAAGGACTGGCTAGCCAGTAACTGTCTTCAGTTGAGCTCAAGCAAGACCGAAACACATTGCTCCTGAACAGAAAGCGCTTTTAATCAAACAACACCTTGGTTCCCTGAGCTCCTCAGTCCAGACCAGTCTCAGAAACCTTGGTGTTCTTTTTGACCAGTCGATGTCTTTGAGCTGCCACTCAAAACAATTAGTAAAAAACTGCTTTTATCATTTGCGAAACATTTCCAAATTGAGAGCTTTTACTTCAAAATCGGACTTGGAGACGATTATCCATGCTTTTATTTCTTCTCGTTTAGATTATTGTAGTTCTATCTTTACTTGTTTAAACAAATCAGATGTCAGTCGTCTCCAGTTGGTCCAGAACGCTGCAGCAAGGCTTTCAACAGGAACCAATAGAAGGGCTCACGTAACACCAGTTTTATCTTCTTTACATTGGCTACCGGTCAAGTTTAGAATTGATTTTAAAATTTTAGTTTTGACTTTTAGAGCTCTTAATGGACAAGCTCCACAATATTAATCAAACCTTTTAACTCTTCTGGCCGCACTTTACGGTCCTCGGGTCAAAACCTGCTGAAGGTCCCTAAGACCAGATTTAAAACTAGAGGGGACTCGTCCTTTCAAGCTGTAGCTCCCAGACTTTGGAACACCCTGCCCTTGTTTCTTCGTGTGGCCGACTCTGTTGATTCTTATAAAAAGCAGCTGAAGACACTTTTATTTAGACAAGCTTTTATGTAAGTTGACCTTGTGCTCCTGTCTTGTTTTACCTTTTTATGTATGTTGTGAAGCACTTTGAGATTTTATCTGTGAAAAGTGCTATATAAATAAAGTTTTACTTACTTTTACTTACTTAAATGTTCTTAAAAATACTTCATACGCTTCGTTAACTTCTGTTTGTTCATATACCATATTCCAGTCTTGTTTTAAGAGTTCATTCCTAAGACAGTTTAATGTCCTCTCTGTTCTTATTCTTTTGTACATAATCTTGTGCCCATAACTGTTCACTTTATGGTGGCAATCATGAGACGCAAAGACTGGAAAATGGTCAGTTATATCATTGATTAACAGCCCACTTTTTATATTTTCTTCTATTAGATTTGTAAATATTTTATCTATTGGAGTTGCACAATGAGATGTTATTCTGGTCAGTCTTGTTATCAGTGGAAATAAGCCCATGCTGTACATGGAATCAATCAGTTCTTCTGTACTCTTATTATGATTTGGATTCAATAGGTCAATATTAAAATCCCCACAAATAAACATTCTGATTTATAGTTGTAAATAATTCCTCCATATAATCCTTAAATATCTCAATCTTGGATCCTGGTGTTCTGTTTATACAACTGACAATTAAGTTTTTCCCTTTTTTCATACTTATTTCCACTGTTAAACATTCCATCACTCCATCAACAATAGTCGTCATTCTTCCCGTTCTTTCATATTTTAGGTTTTTATTAATGTAACCCCCCCCCCCTTTCTTGTTGACGCTGTCTACATGAAGAAATTCATATCCATTTATTTTAAAGTCTTCTTCTTTTCCAGGAGTTATCCAGGTCTCTGACATGGCTATTACCTTGAATGGCTGTTCAAACTGAGTTATGTGGTCTTTTATGGCTTGAAAGTTTGCATTTAAGCTTCGATTATTAAAGTGAACCATTGTTATACTCTTTTCTATCTTGATTGTCTTTTTAAGTTCCTCTTTTGAATAATAATTGCATTCATTTGTCTTACTGTTAAAGAAATTACAATCAGGATCTATATTGCTGTCATGCACCAATGTCTTATTTTCATTATCTATATGAGTTGTCAGTTGTAAACTGTCAGCCATCTGAGTTGGTTGTGCATCTTAGATCTTCACCTCATATTTCGCTCTAATTTGCATACTGATTTATCAGGTATAGATTTCCAGTTCCGTCATCTCTAGAGTTTGAAAGACAATGGTAGAACCTGTCCCGTGACCAAGAGCCGTCAATGGAGCATTGCCAGACTAAATAAGATATTTATCAGGTTCTGCAGAAGCCTGTTAATCACCTACTAATTGAAATCAGGTGTGCTGAAGTAGGGTTATAACCAAAACATGCCGGACACCGGCCTTTGAGGCCCGGAAGTGAGTTGCCCTGCTGGACAATGCGTACAGCGCAGCTCGCTGTCAGCGCGCACGTAAGGGTGGACAGTGAGCTGAAGATGTGGATCAGGGCTTGGAGCGCGTTGGTCCTCCCACTGAAGCGAGTGTTCTCCAAACCCTGTCTCTCAGAGAGACTTGTCACTCAGAAAATGTTCCCTGATTATGAAACTTTGATTGAATAGCGCTTGTTCCTGTGTCTAATAAGGCGATGCATCCATGAGCCTGTCTGAGGAAAAGTCCTGAATCTCATATCCTCTTCAGCTCAGAAAGCGCCTATTGTCATTTCAGGTATTTATCATTTGTGTTTAGATTTTAAAAGATGACAATCTTTACATTTAGAGTTGACATACATAGAAACATGAATGCAGTAAAATAAAATACATTTTAATTAACTTTTCATTCAACATTTTACAAGCACAGACAGCCGCATCAGATGGATGCAGCGCCAGAGCCGTGCGTCGCCAGCTGACCGTGTTATTGATGGTTTGATGAATTGCAGGTGTGTCAGCAAAGGAAAACTGCAGAGCGTCACCATGCTGCCCTCCAGAGGCCAACCTGCGAACTCAGGGAATAAACAGAAAAAGATGGAGTCCAGGCCCGGACACGCATCCACATGTTGGTGGTGATAGGCAAGGCAGCTTTATTTATAGAGCACATTTCAAACACAGACGCAATCCAATGTGCTTTACAATGATCAGGACATGATATCAAAACCACATAAAAACACAAATTAAAATACACATAGATAGAATTACAGTTTAGAGCTAAAGGAGAAGACAAAGTTACAGCGCAGGTTGCAGCGGCGATAACGCAGCGTAAGAAACAATTCATTTAAATGCTGATGTGTGCATTACGGTTTTTAGCTTTGATTTAAACAACACGGGTTGGAGCACATCTGAGGTCAATCAATCAATTAATCAATCAAAGATTTATTTATAAAGCGCCTTCCGCAACCCTGTCAGGAAGCCCAAAGTGCTGAACATGGTTCAGTTGAAAAAGGTCATGGGAAAGCTGATTCCATACGTATGTGAGCTGCATAGTAGCTAAAAGCATCTCCACCATGTTTGGTTCTGACCCGAGGTTCTACCAGCTGATTGTTTCCAAGGGATCTCAGAGCCCTATTGGGTGTTTATATACAGGAATGAGATCAGACATGTATTTTGGTCCCATGCTATTGAGTGATTTATAAACTAGTAGGAGCACTTTGACATCTATTCTGTGGTTTACTGGAAACCAGTGTAGGGATCTAAGAACAGGAGTGATGTGCTCTTTAACTCATTCTCTGCCAGCCGCTTCCTGATCGGTAAAGCCCTTCGCTGCCAGCGTTTCTCACCGTTTTAACTGTTTTTTAAGAGTCACAGAACGTTGCGCGCTAGGATGATGTTGACGCCAAAACAACCAAAACAAAGCGGAGACTCACCTCTTAAATCAGGAAGAATCCGTGCGTTTCGAGCGTTATCCGTTCTTTCTTAATCTGTTGTTGAATTGTGATCGGCAGAAGCTTTTCCGGTTCGCGCCTCACTTTTGTACAGCAGCGGCCCAAAACGATCTCCTAACACATGGATTTTCTGCTTCCTGATCACGTGACATGTGACGTATGCGGGTGAAGATCGGCTTTAGAGCTGAGATGTTTGTTCTCACGGTGCGGGGGCTCGTTCCAACACCCACACGGTAAAAAAATGCAGTTAATGAGCTAAAGGACTTCACCAAACAAGATCTTTGGCATTCTAAAGGAAAAGAAACAATGAAACCATGTTAAGTGTTACTGTTGTTCTGGGTCAGTTGTTCATTCACAAATGGAGATTTCTAAAACGTAAACCTACGTTTCATACCTTCTGTAATAAACTAAAACTCTTCTCCACGCGCTCTTTCATGGAGACGCACTGTGACTGCTATAAAGGCCATGCTGACTGAATGTAAACTTTCTACCCACTAATTCACCTTTGATTTCTCTTTCTTTATATTCTTATTTATTTTTTCATGTCCCGAATGTTGGCTATAAGTCAGTTTTTTTTATTAAAATGACATCTTTGTGTATTGTTGATCTGTGATTTAATAAATACATTAAAAATAAACTTGAACTTCCTGAAACGGGTGCATCTGGGCTTTTGTTACCCCCAGAGTACGACTTAGGAGGCATTCATTCCCACTAGAAGCCACCACAAATGTATTAATTAAACAAGTGATCCAGATCTTTTAGGAAATAGACAGCAAATTTCCCGAAAACAGAAAATGTTTTTAATTCCAATAGTTCAGCCCGTTCCTTCAGTTACAGCTGAGAACGCCACAACTATCGATGTTAGTTTCCCAAACAGTAAAATCACTGCGGTAATGCTTCCTTTTACAGTCCCCTAATTACTAAGTACTTACATGGTTATTACATAGTAAGTTAAAGTGTATTATTGTTTCTGAGTAATTAAATAGTTATTACCGTGTAACTCAAGTTCAATTCTAGTTTTTATTTTAACAATCATTCCCAGTAAATAATTACACTTTATTACAAATATACATGTTAACCACACAATATACACTTTAACTTACTATGTAATTACCATGTAAGTACTTAGTAACCAGCGGACTGTAAAAGGAAGCGTTACCAACACTGCACATGGTAATTATAAAGCATATAGGTACGTTTTTGAGTCGGCTTATTGAAATTTCTCCCAGAGTTACAACAATTTTACATAATCTAGAGATAAAAAATAAAACACCAGACACAAGTTCAGTAATAAATAAAGAGTTTAATCTCAAAAATACTTCTCTTTTCCATTTTGGCATCGATCACATGTTGGCTGTACCATGGTGTCTGACAGAGTCGTGGCTGACATGTACATGAAACAAAACTGACAAAAGGATGTTCTCATCCATCGTGCATGCTGCCATCACGGCCACAGAGGTGACGGGGTGAACTAGTCCGGGTAGGGCGGCGTTAGACCAACATGCTGCAGGCTATGGCTTCAGTTATGTTGTTAAAGTTGAGCAACACTCAAAAGTCACTTATTATAAAATCGCAAACCAATATTAACACTGTTGGATTTGGTGTTTGTCAGTCAACTCTAAAGGTTTAAACGAATCATTGATCAGGTTCCAGCCTGTTGGTTTGTTTCACTACAACCTTTAAACAGGACGCCGTTTTCCTGACAGGTTGGTTCCGCCTCCATAACTCAAACAGTCGCTATTCAAACATGACTTACTTAGGGCAACCTAAATCTGATTTATGGTGAATCTGATGTGATTGCGTTCTCCAAGCATTGGACTTTTGGAGAAGCTGAATTGTATTTGGCCTCCAGGTCACATAAAAATCACTAGATGCTGACGACTGTGTATTTTGTATTTCTGATTCAGAGCCTTGCTGTATTTATTTGGCGGGTTTGTGCTACATTTATCTGGGATTAAGAAAAGTATTGTGGTTCTAACAACCAGGCGCCTCGTTTATGAAACTTTGCAAAGAATCCTTACTTTTCTTAGTTTAATTAGTAAACTAATTTTCCAACATATCCACCTTATGAGCAATATGCAGCCCATGTATGGTCTGGTGTTTACATGGCGAACATATGGCATTTTTACATTTGTCGTTTAAAAGCAAACATAGAGTCGACTCGGAGTCTTAAAGAGCAAGTCAACCCCTACCAGAATCTTAAGCCTGGGGCACAGCTGAGGTGGACACGGCGTGTCACGCCCGAGGTTTAGAGAAGCCAAGTGGTCACACAGGACGCGCCGCGCCGTGCTGCGCGCTTCTTGGAAAATCCCACGGTAAGTGACTCTATTGTTTATACGTGATCAGAATTGCCGTTGTGTTTTGCAAGACTTGAATTAATTAAAAATGGGTTAGTGTGCTATTTATTGGGATATTTTAAGATCAACAGTACTTTAAAGTTATCAAAACTTCGGCTGGGTTTGTGCCGTAAAGCCGTTCCGCGTTGTAAAGCACTCCACAATGTAATAAACAGCCATGGCGCTTGAGACAGAACTGGCGTCCATCTTCAGTGCCTCGGCATGATGCTTCTGGGATGCGGCGCTCCCCATGCGCCCACTCTCAATAACTATAATGGCTTCTATTTAAAATGATGGTGCAACGCTGTGCGGCGTGCCCGCCTCCGGTTTGCCCCAGGCTTTACTCCACTCCCACTTCCTGTTTGAAAAATGCAACAAATGCTGTTGCCTGGCAGACTGAGAGGGTGGAGCAGCTAACAAACGGGAGGCGACAAACGACTACGATCAGCGAAATTCGTCGCTGTCACTTTTATTACCTGACACACGGGAGGCGACCCGCGGCCAGCGGAATTGCCGTCTACGCGTTCTGTTCCATGGCGAAATCGAAACTTCCGTTGTTTTGTTTGGCTGTGTCAGGTTGGAGGGAATTAAGGTTATTTAAGCGGTTCAGAGTTAAAAAAGCGGTAGATATGATGTTTCACAAGGTGCTGCTAGAGTTATGTGAAATCTTACTTCTGATTTTACTATAAAACATAATAATCAACTTCTCCTTCATGTTTGCTCGGAGATGTACGGAGCATCCTGTCCGCTCATTGGTCAGTGAATGAAACCCCCGTTAATTGGCCCTCGTCCGAGCGACAGCGATGAAAAGTTGAAAATATTTCAACTTTCTTGGATTGCGTTGCTGGGTTGCCTGTGCACGACATGTGCACGAGCACAAAATTTGACACGCACGTTTTTCGCGTTTCGCTTAGTAGGAGGGAGACCTGCGATTATCGCTTTGTCACGCATGTCTCATTGAAAATGAATGGAGGAGAGGCGATGTCGCCTCCTGTGTGTCGAGCCAAACAGGCTCACAACGACATTGTGACATTATAATGTACCAGCTAACATCACAGAGTACCTCTTACCCCAAAATTCCACTATCTCCGCTCCGCTGCGCTCCGGCACGAACTCCGCAGCAAAAACGGTCCCGTTGTAGTCAATCAGAGCTGTTCCACTACTGTGGCCGTGCGGCGCAGTGCGCCGCCCGCCGTTCCACCATCCGGCAAAAAAAGGATCGATTCTATTTTTGCCGGACGCCGGAGCACCTCCGCAGTCAATGGACAGAAATCACAACCGCCCAACAGGAAAAGGAGCAAGCACAACTTCCGTTATCTCACAATAAATCGATAAACAAAAGGCGTTTTTTGTTTCATATGCACAGGTTTAACAACTTTTAACAACTATCAATGGCAGTTGAACTTTAAATGCACAAAAATAAGCCATAAATACAGTTTCCACTATCAACGTAGTCACACTTTGTTGATCCAAACACTGCTGATCTCTCAACACAAATGATGGGCAGATTGAACAGTTCATTTCGATGCTTCTCCCACACAACGGGTGTTTGGATCTAACTTCCGCGTTTATTGCTCGGACTGTATCGCAAGATCTCGAAAATCTCGCGCATGCCTGTTTGTGCACCTCAGGTCTCCGCACCGGAGCGGAGCTGTTGTAGAACGAGTACAGTATAATTTGAGTTCGGAAGCGAGCGGCAGCGGAAAGCGGGGTCGGAGCGGAGATAGTGGAATTTTGGGGTAAGCCATTAGCAATGGCAGATTAAAATTATTGGCTACACATGTCTACAGCATGATTAGACACTCTTTTATGTAGTTTATCAGCAAAAAAGTTGATTTGGGGGTGACTTGCTCTTTAAATTCTTCATGACCAAGCCTGAGTTTAAGTTTCTACATCAGGTGTACAAACAGCAGGTTGCTCATTACGGTAGGTTTAATGAAAATATTCAATGGATTTGATAATGTTAAACATGAAGCTCCATTTTGATAATTTCTCATTTTAATCCTCAGTTCAGAGATGGGATCGTGGCTGGTGTGTGTGTGTGTGTGTGTGTGTGTGTGTGTGTGTGTGTGTGTGTGTGTGTGTGTGAGGGCGATGCGAGTCTGAAAACGCGGCTTTCTTTCACTGTTTTATCATCTCACCAGCCGCGTCGTCGTTTCCAAAACTAGGGTCAACATTTGTTTTCCATTTCCTATTTTCCCATCAAGTTTTTCTTTATAAATCACTAAGTTTGCATAATAAAAAACTTTTGCATGTTTCCATTATGTGCATAAACAAGCTTTATAAATGAGACCCCTGATCTTATTTACTGCCGCTTTATTAGGATTTATTTGTGTAAGAAAAGGAATCAGAGGAAGACTTTAATGCTAAGATTTCAACGTTTCAATTAATCAGATAATTTCTGCTCATTTCTTTTCAGCCGCTCAATAAAAGGAAACATCCCTAGTTTTCCTCCTTTATTAAACACACTAATTTAAAAACCAAAAACTGTTTGCACTGATTCTTGTTGGAGTCTCAATTAAGCCAAAAAGAATGAATGTGCATTAATTTTCTACTGATAGCTAATCAGGCTATAAAGTTTTCCTGTACTTGGAAGACATTTGGTTAAAATACAAACCAGTAAATTATAAAAATAGACAAAAATATATAAATTTGCAATTCAAAGTGGTCAAAGTCAGACTTCTGATGTGTTTTTTTTTCTGGGAGAAATGAATAAAGGGGATTCCTCTGAGAATCAATACTTTATATTCTGGTCCAAACCCCCAAAATGTTTTCACCTCAGTCTGACCAGAAGCTCTGGTTTTAGGACATCCTCAGGTCTTCAGACCAAACAGACTTTAGAGTAAAAAGTGATCAGACTTCTGACCAGCCTGACTCTGTTTTTGGGTCACGTGGTGGTTTTTATTTATTTTTGTCTGGTAGCTTTGTTCTTAAAACCCATTTTCCACCTGTAGTCGAAACTAAAAGTCTGATGTTTACCTGAGACCTGAGGCGTCCTGAACCTCCAGCACAGAGCTCACAAGCATCTTCGCTGAAACATCCAAAATAAACTTTTTTAAAATGAATGATTAATTAACATTTTATTTAGTGCATAATGATGATGTAATATTTAATTATGCTGCATGTTTTATTTCCTGCATGTCTGACTTGTTATTTCACAGTAACTTGGTGTGAGGTCCATCACCACTCACTGCCTCTTCTTCTTCTGCTTCAGAGTCTTCCTCCTTTTCACGATCATCTCGTAAAGCCGGTCCATGCCCTCGTGCAGACCCTCTCCGATGATGGCGCAGGCCGGCTGGACGTGGTACGCGGTGGAGGGGCTCAGTTCAGACAGACCCAGCTGCCTCTCGATCTCCTCCACGTCCAGCGCGCGCGGAAGGTCCTGCTTGTTGGCGATGACCAGCAGCGGGGTTCCCTGGTTCTCCTGGAAGCGCGTGATTCGGTGCAGCTCGGCCCGGGCCTCCTCTAGCCTCTCGGAGTCGACGGAGTCCACCACGTACACGATCCCGTCCGTGCAGCGGCTGTAGGGCTTCCACAGAGGCCGCAGCTTCTCCTGGCCCCCCACGTCCCAGAAGTGGCAGCTGATGCCCCTGGAGGCCCCCGCGCCGCCCAGCCGGATCCTCTCCGTGTTGAAGCCGATGGTCGGAACAGTGTTGACGAACTCGTTGAATTTGAGGCGGTAAAGAACGGTGGTTTTACCGGCAGAGTCCAGACCTAGCATCACTATGTGCAGAGACTGGAAGGCTGCCAAACCGGACCAGCTGTTCCCCATCTTCCTGATCGCGCAGCGGGACCCGGTTCGGTCCGAGAAGCTACCGCAGGAGGGGGTTAAAAGCACCGGGAGCGATCCCTGACGAGCTGCAGGGCGCAGCGGCACTCCGGCAGCCAGACGAACCGCAGCATCCCTGTTCCGGACTCGACACAGCCAGCAGCGAGAGCCGCGCAGGACGCCCTCAGAAGCGGTGCAGTCAGCGTGCGCACCGCACTCCAAATGCGCAAACTGTCACATCTTCCCCTCCGCAGGGAAACACTCAGCCGAAGTGACGCGTCAGTACGCTTCTAAACATGCGGCAAGTTACACTAGAATATGTATTTATGTGACTTCCGGTTACGGCTTCAAAAATAAAACCCTGCATAGCGTTCGTCTTATTTTGAAAGGCATTGAGTTTCCTGATGGGGACTCTGACACCTAGCGGCTAAAACAAGAACCTACCAGAGGGGAGATGAGGTGATTCCGATCCAGAAAAAGGTTTTTGTCGAGTTTTCAAGCTGATGATCAGTTAATTCAAACAATAAGACGAAATCAATGTGGCTGACTTATTAAAGGAACTATTTACATTTAAACTTGTCCCTGTGTAAACGTTACACTGTGTAGATGAATAAGATCTGGTGAAGTTATTTACCTTCTAATATGTTCCAGAACACAATCCATTTAGTTTTATTCAGTAGAAATAAAATAGTTAAATCAGGGCAAAAATGTGTGCGTGCGCGCACACACACACACATTATATATATATATATATATATATATATATATATATATATATATATATATAGTATATGGATTCCTCTGTGTAGCTAAATAAACTTAATTTTTTTCTTAAATATTAATGTATTTAGAGTACTGATGATGGAAGTGTTCATGCTTTTTTGCGGTACAATTACTCGCCGCGACCACTAGATGGCAGCAAAGTACAAAGAACTCCACTAAGTTAACATTATTTTCTATATTGGTTTAAGTTTAGTTAAATAAAATGCATTTATGTTTTACTCAGCAGAAATTTCTTTTGATTATACTAGAATAGAAATGTCTTTAGATGAATAGGTATAGATTTTGAAAGGGTGAGTTTTGTTTATACTTCAGATTATCTATGTTTTTGTTTCTTATGTGTAAAAACTAAACTATTGAACCAGGCAGTAATTTATTAAATAAACACAGATTTAAAAAATACTAAAAGTGATTTATTACTTAGATGTCAGAAAAAAATATGAAATTATGATTATTTTGTCAGAAATGTTCTGTAGCTTTTATTTGGATTTATAGATATTTTAAACAGACGTACATCTTATTGGTTGTTATTTTATTTTTGTTATTAATTGATGATTCAAACCCCCTCATCTTCCCCCTCTTGAAAATACTAGGCTTGACCCCTCAGGCCAGTCACTAATAGGGGTCAAAACTCCAGTCCTTTAGGGCTAGCAGCCTGCACATGTTAGCTGTTTCTTTGCTCCCACACACCTGATTGCAATAATGAGTAATTAACAGGCCTGTGCAGAATTAAACGTGGTAAAAAGATGATTAAAATACTCCATTCAGGTGAGGTAGAGCAGGAAACTACAGAAAACTAGCAGGATGCTAGCCCTCGAGGACTGAAATTGCTAACGCCTTCTCTGAATGAACCTCCATGATTCTGAATCCCTCCAGATGGTCTACAGAGCCCAGTTTTTCAAAAGTTATTCACTAGGGTTTTGGATAACGGATTGGATCAAATCTTGAAAATAGATTAAAAAAAAAAGGATTACATAACTGGATTAGATCACATAATCCAATCTTGGTTTTGATTCGGTTGAAACCTTTAGTTGGGTTTTTCCAGAACGTTTTTGTAGGATTTGGATCACTTTGACCCCAAAAATCTGGATTAAACGGATCCCATCAGAAGGGTAGATTCAGCGTGGATTTCATACCCAAAATGTAATGAAAACTTTAAAAATGTATCAAATGATACTATATTTGCATAATGCAGTATCTTACAAGATAACCTATTTATTCATAAGGTTCAAATTCTATTTGTTCTTCCATCAGGCTACAGTGATTAAGTAGGCTTTAACGTATTTAGCCTTTCAGTACAGGCCTACAGCAAAGTAGATAGTTTGGCCTCATAAAATAATCCCCCAAACAGCTGTCAAAATTGACCAAAAACAATTTTATTCTGCCACAATTTCTGATATATATATATATGAATATATATATTCATCACAATCGAAAATATTGTTTTTAGAATATTTATTAGTGATGCATGCAATGATTACAGAATAACCCCAAAAAAATAATGCCAACCAAGGCCAGACTTCAGCTCCGCCTCCTGAAGGCTATGCTCAGACAAGCTGGTCTCTCCACATCAGATGAAGAAGTCTGAAGTTATTGTGGTGTATCTGACATTAAGTCTATTTTTATTCAACACATATACATTGAAACTTGTTATAAATATCCTCAATGTACAGTGTTTGTGTTGTAGGTCTCAGATGAGTGGACTGCTGCAAGAGGATGGGGTTTTCGTTGTTTTTATATTTTTAAGTGTTTGTGTTTTCATTTGAAATGAAAATAAACTTATATTGATCCCACACTGGCTATTCTACTTGTTGCTCTTTACATATCTAGAGTTCTACATTGTGATTTCCTATCCTGTTTGAGCTGGTTATCCAGATTTGGTGATCCCGAGAAGTTCCTATCAGGATCAGATTGATCCAATCCCATGTTGCTTTGAAAAACTGGCTCAAAAGTAAGCTGGATTATGTGATCACGGATCGCAAAAAACAAAATAAAAAAAATTAAAGGATTATTAAATCCGGATCAAATTTATGTGGATTAAACCTTTTGAAAAATCGAGCCAAGATGAATCCCGTTGACATTATACTCCCCCATGATATTTCTTCATCCAACTGCGACTGTCTTGTGCCTAGGGTGTACCACAGGGTACTGTCTCAGGCCTCTTACTGTTTATTTTAAGTCCGTGTGCTGTTCAGCACATTTTGAGAACCTTTATGTTTCTAAGCTCCAAATGAACAGAAGATATGACTCCATTAGAGGTTTGGGACAGATATGAGCCTTTTCTAAATGTTCTAAACCTTCTGTTGGAACCATGTTGGATGTTCATGATAGATCTGTTTTTATATTTCAAAGTATCAAGTTGCTGTTTTGCTTTATTCACGTATTTAATTACATTAAACAAAAAAAAATCTAGAAAATGTGACATGTTTTAATAAAAGCTTAGACTCTAGAATAAATCATTATTGCCTTAATTCATTTTATGAAAACTTATTGGCCCAAATAAATCAAAAAAAAGTCTGCTGCTTTTTTCTAGGCGTGGCAGTTTAAGTGACACATTCGTCACCGTGATGAGGTAATAGAAACTCAACTGGAAAAGTGCTTTAGTTAGTTTCCCATCAGCAGATGCAGTTTGGTTATCTGATAAAAGGATTTACGGCTTTGGGCAGAAACAAAATGGCCTAATTAGTCAGGATAAGTGGAAAGGTTTGCGCTTGCTTTAGGAAGCAGCTGTTAGCGGGAGGGAGAGGAAATCCAGTCCCTAAACAACAACGAGCTGAGTCATCACTAATCGTCCTCCTCCGTTATTGATTCTGTTTTTAATGAGGGTGTGTGTGAGATCAATGAGTCGAATCAGACACACACAAACACATTAAATTAATAAGAACGCAACGCTAAACTCTTCACCGCCCTTCTGATTTACTCCATCGATCCATCGCTGTCCCTCCTCCAGCTGGAGGAGAAAACCCACCGGACCTTCTGAAGCCAGCCTAAGGAACAGAAACTGAAGACAGGTTGGCGTGTTTGTATAAAAAATCCTCCAGTAAACATCTCTGAAAGTGGATGCGGGCCGCGGTTCCTGCTGATCATCAGCGTGACTGAATCCTTGGTGTTGGGAGTGGTTCAGGGACCCGCAACGTGACTAAAACCAGACCACGGGGCTCTTCTTCTCCCTTTGAGGGCCCTTTTCCAGGTGTCACCATCCTGGCTTGTTTCCACTCCAGACCCTCCAGATCAAATGTGACCCAAAGCGTTTCATCTCACCACCTGCTTCTGGTTTTCAAAAGCTGCTCCAATTAATGGAGAAGAGGAATTCACAGGTTTGTTTCTCTGATGCAGGCAGACTGTTTCATTTCTGCTTCTTTTATCAAATATAAAGAAGAATCAGGTAGGATGGAGAATCTGGCCTCTGTTCCCACGAGGAAAACATCATAAACGTCACAGTTTCTATAAAGAAAACCTTTATAAAAACTCACCGCTCCTTGGATCATCTGGATGTTCATTATTGGAGCGGCTGCAGTTCAAAGGGAAGGCTGTTGTTTTAATGAACTCAAACTTTGCAGATCTCCTGAAAAAATAACCAAGTTTGGCATAAATTCCCCTAAAAACAAAAGAAAAGCAGGTTGAGTAAACAGTGAAGTGACCTGAAGCTGCTCTGTTTCACTTTGTTTTTAAATAAGTCACAAAAAATAATCGAGCCTCAAGATTTTTTTAAAGTTTACATTCTAACCTAAAAAGTTCACAATGCTAAACAGAAGAGGATTAGCAGAGGTGTGGACTTGAGTCACATGACTTGGACTCGAGTCATTATTTTAATGACTTCTGACGTGATAAAATCTATAAAGACTTACAACTTGAATTGGACTTGAACGCCAATGACTTGCAACGTGAATCGACTTGCATCTGTTGACTTGATGATGACTTGAGCATATTTGATATTTTAGCACAAAAGTGGCACGACTCAGCTAAAATCCCGTTTTCTATTTCTACCATACGTTGACTCAACTCTGGCTCATCCCTTGAGTTGGGCCCCAGAGGTCAAATTTCAAGAGCTCTATCTGAAAAGGACCAGGAACAAGAAAAAAACAAACAAGAAGAAACTCAGAAAACCCTTCAGAAAGTCTGGAGATGTTTTGATCAAAACCACTTTAACGGACTACAGGAGAGTCTGGCTGCTTTTAAGGTAAAACAATCAACCGCCTCATGGACCACATTCAGTGTTCCAAACTGTCTCCTGGAGACGAGCATGAAGTGTGAGTCATCAAGAGTAAAGGACAACGCTGAAGGTGCCCTGTCCTCTGAGGGAGAATAATTATCTGTTTTAATTAAGCACATCAAACTCTGTGTGTGTGTGTGTGTGTGTGTGTGTGTGTGTGTGTGTATTATAATGAGAAAGGCAACATAAGAGGATGGATTTGTGTGTGAATGTACTAGGACATAAGATCTGTGTGTGTTTACTTGCAGGAATCTCTTGTGTTGCCTGTGTGAAGCTCATTAAACACACACCATATTTACATAATAATGAGCACACACAGCCACACACACACACACACACACACACACACACACACACACACAGTACAGAATAACAAGTGTGATTAACGAGCATGGAGGATGTAGCACCGAGATCTAATCCACCACTGCGGTAAATTTAAAAAGTAGACTAAAATGGGAATTTAACATTTAGCAAAGCTTCCTTTTATGGAACTGTCATAGGATGTTGTGACTAGAGGAATTTAATAGCGATTATTTTGATTTAGTCTCTTAACACGAGTTTTGTAGCAATTACTTAATATTTTAGGCACATTTCAAAATCCTTTCAAAATAAATGGGTTTAAATTCATAAACTGGAGAAGGAATTTTCCAACTTTTTGTTAAATGAATTAAATCTACCCATCTCCTGCTGGCTCGTAGGAGCTGTGACATGTTTCCATTCTGATGCTGCTCCACAGATGCAGTTGCATAGCCCCACCACAAGGGGCAGAGTTCTGTAACTCTGAATTGCAATTCAAATCGGAAATCCGGTAGCCTGGCAAGCTACCCTTGAATACATCAGCTGTGGGGCAGGATCTGCAGTTGTTTTTCAAATTGTGTCCACATGCTATTGGACGACAAACAACGTGACATACTCACCGCTACAGATCTCAGTCAACGGGGCACCATAAACTGTTTGAAAAAGATGCAAATACAACCTTTTTCTAAATAAATGTAAGTACCTCTATGTGCTCTTTATCTTCGTAACGCTTGTTCTGTGAAATTTATCCAATGACATTTTTAGTGGTTCTTCATCATGCACAGAGCTTGCTGACATGTTTCGATCTCTTCTGCCGCCTTCGTCAGCGTAACCGCCGGTGTTGGTGGCGTCACTTCTGTTTATATGCGGGCAGCGAGGACAATATCACCCTCTACTTCCCGTGCTTTCTCCGTTGATCGCCAAGTCCCATGAGTGGTCCAGCGTTTGTCCCTGTTCACAGTCAGGGGTCCATGCCCCCACATCTCAATAACTTCATTTATCCATCTTTATGATAAATGACCTGCACTTGTTTAGCGCCTCTCAGAGTATGGACTCCAAAGCGCTTTACACCACAGTGTATCATTCATCCATTCACACACACATTCACACACTGATGGTGATGAGCTACGATGTAGCCACAGCTGCCCTGGGGCACACTGACAGAGGCGAGGCTGACGAGCACAGGCGCCACCGGTCCCTCCGACCACCATCAGCAGGCAAGGTGGGTTAAGTGTCTTGTTCAAGGACACAACAGCAGAATTCTCTGTCCGGAGCCGGGATCGAACCTGCAACCTTCCGACTACTGGACAACCTGGACACTGCCCTTTAGAATTTCTGTCGTTCTGTGTGTATGACCCGTGTGCTGTCCCAGTCCATTATATGATTTTGTCTTGTGCAGTGGTCTGTTATGGCTGATTTTTTATTGTACTTTTTAGTGAGCAGGATGATATTGCGCAGTGCCGGTTCTACATGGAATTACTCCCCGTTCGAGGCCCCCTTTGAGCGCCCCCCCCCCACCCCCCCCCCCCCCACCACCACCACCACCACCCCACCCGCACGCACACCCGCATGTTTTCTACAAACAGGCATGTTTTATTAGAACGACTATTGAACATTCGTTTTTCTAAGTTGCACATATTTACATTAATTACTATGAAGCTGTGAGAATGTAAAGCAATATACATTATATACTGTATCAAAATATATAGAATCAAATATACAAAAACAATAGCTAAATATTAAGAATATATGAACATAATATATAATAAATATTCTAAATAGCAAAAATATTTCACACATAACAAACTAAAGATAATCACTACAGCATTGCACTTAGAATAGAAAACACAAACTAAAATTAAAACCTAACGTTGATGCAAAGTCATCAATAATGTCATCATATGAAATCTGCTCCCCTACTGAGTGATTGATACTAATCAGAGCCAGGTTAGTGAGCCGCCCCTGAAACATAGTTGACCTCAGGTATGACTTGATCAAGTTTTGAAAAGCTCCTCTCAGCTTGAGCCACAGTGACTGGCAGAGCAGTCCAAATGTTGGGGTAGATCTCCAATAGATCTTTATCATGATCCATAATATTTTAAAATTGCCTCTGAAATTGTAATTTAAACTGACATAAATAAAACTGTAGACTACCAAAAATGCCAACTTTTACAGAACAAATCATGTAAAATAATCAGTGCAGCCATCTGCAATAAATAAACAGGATAGTTAGTGGTGACTGGGGAGTTTTCTTCTGCTTATAGAGTTGTTTTATTTATTATTATGTGAACATGATCAACATGTGTTTGTTGTTGTTCAGGCAGGCCACAGGCTGCAGTGAGCATTTAACAAATCCTAGTTTGAATCAGTAAAAATCGATTCAAGGAATTTTTTCGAACCATTTGAATATTCGTTTCAATATTTCAGCCCTATTAGCTCTGTTAGCAACTAGTTGACCGAATTTAACCGTTAAAATCCCAGTTAACTGGTTCAAAAAACTGAAAACATGCATCATGAGAGCGTACATACCTTTATCTTTCTCCTCTTTTTTTCTTTTTTATTCCTGAATGGGGCACCTGGTGGTTTTAGCCTTTTTATGTTCATCTCTTCTGTTTGGCTCTTGACTCAATAAGTTAACTTTAGTCAAGACTAAACAATTTGACCTTGATGGGGGGGTGACCACAAAATTGTTTTGTTTTTCCTTTTTTATTCGGCCATTTCACACAATTCAGAAAACCTGAAAGAATGATAGGCCTGTGTTTATGAAATTATGAATGAAATGTGCGTTGAATAGAAGAACATCAAGATGTGATTGACTTTAGCCATGTTAACACAGTTGGTTCAGCCCCTACCCGCTCATTTCATTTGGGAAAGACCCAGAGGTGAATTCCCCTGCCGCACCCCTCCCCTTCCTCTTCTTCATACACACACGGTGCACCTGAACGTTCTCAGTCAGCAGGAGCGCCTGCAGCTGCAGGGGGTGCCAACTTGCTGTTTCCAATCCAGACACTGTGATATGACAGATAATAGAAAACCTTGGTGCGGCACAGATTTCTTTCTTTTTTATTTTTTACTCAGCGCTTCTGCGCCCCTTTTGTGTCATGAAAAAATGCCGCCCCGGGCAACTGCCCTGTCTGCCCGTGCCTAAAACCGCTACTGATATTGTGTCTGCGACTGAGTGAAACTAAAGCATTTCACAATTATACTCTTCGCCGAGGGGGCGTATAGCGCTTTCTGGGGTATCCTGCCATTGATGCCGTCACATCTGTAGTATGTTTATGTATTTCAGAGACTTTTTAACACAAACAGATTTGTCCTCCACTTCTCCATGCCAACATCTCTAAACTCACATTTCCTGTAATTTCCTGACACAAATAAAATTTTGCTGCATTATCGTGTTAACATTTATATCGTCTGACTTTTTCCACAAGACGTTGTTCAATCTGCTCCGTGTCTGTCACTAGATATTAATTGGCTCTTGTTTTGTTTTTTTAAACATGCTGTTGGCGAAGTTAAAGGAAGCAGCGTCCTGACCAATCACAGTCTTGAATTCTACGATGCTTTTGACTGATATTTAGAAAAGTGGGCTCAACTCTGTCCGTGCTTGCGAGCCTTTGCAGAGCCCTTGCAACGATGGATAGTTCAATGCAAATCAATTCAATTCAATTCAATTCAAGTTTATTTAAATAGCACATAAGCATGACACGAGTAGTCAAAAGGACCTTCACATAGTAAACATTCCAATACAGATCAGTTCATTAAGCCAATCAGTAAAAAGTTTCCTATATAAGGAACCCCGCAAATTGCATCAAGTCACTGACTAGTGTCAGAGTCTTTACAGCAGTCCTCATACTAAGCAAGCACTTAGCGATAGTGGAATGGAAAACTTCCTTTTAACACGAACAAACCAGACAGGGAGTAAACTGAGGGAAAAGGGCTGTAAGTTAAGCAAACTTCCCACAGGAGAAAAGAACCACTATAAATCTGGTCATTTGGTAAGTAGCAGCTATGCTAGGGGAGACGAGATTATGTGGTGACGTCATATATGCGACGCGTCGATTTCTAGTTTGTAGTCATGTTAATTACGAACTTATACAAGCTGATAAATCTCTAAGTACGTAACTGGCATGGTCGAAACACCCATCAATAGTTTTCCTTTAAATTGCAGTACAACACGTGTGTTATCCAGGGCGTAAAGCAAAGCGGATTAGAAAATAGCGTTTTTAGCCCCGTTGACTTGCATTCCTTTTTCGTTCTTCCGGGGACCCATGATGCTGAAGTTACTTAGGCTCCCTATAGTCGATGGGCGTGTGTGTCACTTTTATTTAGGTGCAGAGAATACTTGGTAAGTTCTTTTGGTTCTTTTAGTACTCACACTGGTGGTGTCCATTTTTCCCGAAGCCGGAATGCAAAACAAGCCCGTTACGTCATTTCCTGCACGGATTTTCGGAGTTCCAAGGACAACTGGAATGCAGCATAAAACCACTTTCAACCAGGAGGAGGGAGAAGCTGGAAATCGCTTAGTGTTACTTCAACTATGGTATCAAACGGACATCCACCTGTTATAATGCTTGTTTTATGTATGCAGCTGTTTTTGAAAAGCCTAAAAAAAGAATAAGAGACAATGATCAGCCCAAGAGGAGTCCAGCCTGATCTGGATTCACTTCTGAACAACGAAACAGAAAACCATCAAATGGTCATCAACCTGCAGACATAAGACAAATTCTGTCTCCAAGTCAAAGTGTTCACACACATTCACAGTAAAGTTCAACCTTTCTTTTATTGATACTTTCTAAACAATAATACTGAAAAGACCTCTGATTCACTCCCCATCACAGCAGGGGAGACACTTCAAAATCTGTCAGTCGGCACTCAGAACAAATAAATACATTACTCACAAATGTTCTGTTTGGATCTGTTTCCTATCACAAAATAACCCAACTATGAACAAAATGACAGAAAAACAGTAAATAAACAAACAGAATGATTATCTGAGGTGAGATCAACACTTCTTAAAAACAAAAGTGTAACAAAAATACAGTTTTCAGTCTTTTAAAGGTTGAATGTTCTGAATGTGCTGATATCTTGTGGCAAAGTGGAAGATTGCATCCAAAAAGAAAAACTCTCAGAGGTGAGACGGCTGTGGCTGAAAGACGAAAAGCCCCAACTAGAGTCCCTGTTTGGTTTAGATGATCCAGTCCCGCGATGAGGCGAAACCACCTTCTGTGCACATAAATATTTCTCCATATCAGCTGCTTAAGGATAATGTTAAAGGTTTGGTTGACTGAAAAACCATTTTTAAGATTTATTTCTGATTATAATCGGTCACACTGAGATTTTCATGCAGTCTGAAATGAGTCTCAGACACCTATCTCCTGCATTAGCTTCTGATAGAGAACAGATGGTGAAACTCCAGGATTAGAAAATTCTCACATATCTATGTCACACTGCGAATTTGCATTCATGGATTCTTGGCTTAAGCCTGCCAACAGGAGTGATTTTGTTGTTTGCAGGGAGGAGAGAGTGGAGAGCGTCTTGGTGATGGTGACTTTGCAACATGGATGAACGCGTTCTGTTGGCCAATCAGAAGAGAGGTGTGTGCATATCATTAATAATAATGAGCAATCCTGCTGTTTTCAGCCCACCTCTGCACCAGCAAGCTTCGGCATCTCAGAACAGGAGCATCATAGATTTTTTTATTACTCATAAGGCATTGATCTACACTAGAGAACACAGCAAATGTTTTGAATAAACAAGTAAACCACGCCTTTAAAGCACCCAGTCCCTGGTCTGGACTGTGCTTCAATAGAAATATATTAGTTACAGGTTTCTTCTGTTTTCCAAAAATAAAAATAAATTCCATGACTTTACACATGGAGGATTAGCTTAAACATCTAATCTCTGTAAATTATACCAGCAGCCCAGTTTTTGTCTATTGGAACCTACAGGTGATTAAACTGAAACGTTGCGGCATGTGTGTGTCTCCATTTCACCAGGCCAGCCCAGAACAACTTCCCAGGTCATTTTAGGAGCCAGCCAAGTACCTGCCTTGGGACATGTACTCACAAATAGCCCTTTAGAGTCACTGGGTGGGACTTGTGGCTAACTCACACTGACTGGTTGTAACTCCGTGGGAAATTACATCAGCAGACATCACCAAACAACTGCCACAAGAGTTGCAGCATTATTGCCTCATCAAAATTACCACTTCTAAGCTCCCAATGCTAAATAATAAGGTGGAAATCACTCCACTACGCTGCTTTGCTTCAACTGAGAGCCATAAAAACAGTTTTTCTTCTGGTCATTGAACGCTGCTTTATATGTCATACAGCCTTCCAGTGAATTATCTGAATGGCAGAAAATACGGCGTGGTCTGAGAGAATAACACATCTTTAATTAACCATGCTTATGGCTAAGTCAATGGCTGTGGGCGCATTTTGGAGCTGATCAGTGATGTCACTCGCTGACGAAACAGATATGCTGGCATCTTAGCAAGTTCCTTAAAAGACTGAATTTGTACGGAGACACAACTGCTGAGAGGACCGAGATATCTGTCAACTCCCAGAGATGTCCGGGAACTCGTAAAAGTAAAAATGTAGCTAGTGTTTGAATTCATAACAGTATTTTAAATTACATTAAAGAAATGTCCTTTCAAATATATTTTCATTCTTTTACAAAAGTTGTGTGAAACACAAGTAAAGACTAAAGTTGTTTTATATAAAACTGCAAACAGATAAAGTTATGTAAGGCTCGATTCAGCCGGTTTAATGTGAACAGTTGTGTTTACTGCAGTGTTCGAGTCCTGAGGGAGAAAATATCTGGAAGCCAGCAAACAGCAGCAAGAAAAGTACAAGTAGAAAAAAAACTGAAGGAAAGGGAAAGAAATAAGGGAAAAAAATAACACTAAAAGAGGTAGAGAAAAGCAAAATGAGAACAAAAATGAAGGAAAAGATGGAAACATCGGAGAGTCTGTATAAAAGTCACAAGCTGAGTTCTACAAAGTCTGGAGTTTCTCGTTTAACATCAGTCATTTGAATCGTTCTGCAGGTGGAGCCAAACCATCAAATGGCAAAATCTCCGTAACCAGTGGGACAGAACGCAGCGCTGCGGAGCGTGTCGAGACAGTTCACGAGGATGAGAGCACCGGTCAGGTGTTTCCACCTCTTGGTGATGGGGTTCCTCATTTTGTCCAGGCCGAGGTGGAGCTCCTGGATGACGTCCCTGTAGCTGTCTCCGACATGGGCGGCCCACGTCAGCAGGAAGTCATAGGCTGGTTTCCACATGGACTGCAGGGTCAGAGGGGAGGAACGAGGCAGATGTAATAAATAATGCTGTTTGGTGTGCATGTCAAGGTCAGTTAGGTAGATGAATTGATATTAATGTCTTGACTGCTAAAACATCTGATGCTTTATTAACAATGTTTAAACGCAGGTTCATCCTGTTGATAGTCTCCACCAGTCCCCCCAGGAAGGACTGACCTTGCCTCAGACCAGCTTGGTCTGATTTATCAGTCACACTCCCATGGGAAACTGTCTGTTGAATGGATGTACCTGGGTTTGTATGAAGGAAATGTGACCTTGTTTTAACTCCCTAGATTAAACAGCTTTCTGCCTTAATGGAGTAGTTTTGGAATGTGATGCGTGTGTGCGTTTGTGTCTGTAACTCTGTAACTCAAGAAGGCCCCGCCTTCTTCGTCCTGTCTTTTCAATAAATGCTATCGGAGGACTTCCGGTCCGATGAGAGAGCGATCTGAATTCATACTTGGTGTGTATTGATTTTCCTCTCCACTTTGCAAAGTCTAAATTGATTGTTTATAATTGGTATTGGTGTTGGGCTGACCACTATCCATGAGACCAGAATTCCTTCGCCACCACATGCGACACTGACCTTTGTGCGTCAGTATAAGATTGCCCTGGCGTCCCATGGTCCGGTCCAGTAAATCATTGACAGCCTCTTGGACAAAAGCATCATTCGACCATGCAACAGCACCTACTCGGCTCCATTGTGGCCGGTGAGGAAACCTAATGGTAAGTGGCGACTGACCGTGGACTACAGACAGCTCAATAAACAGGTTCCTTTGTCGAGGTGGCCGATGGCGCGCCTGGAACAAGAACTTCCGAAGGTGAGGGACGCTAAATACTTCTCCACTCGTGACATTGCATCTGCTTCTGGACAATCCCTGTCCACAAGTCCGACCAACATAAGTTGGCCTTCACCTTCGTCAACCGCCAGTACACTTTCACTCGGTGTCCTTTTGGCTACTCCAACTCACTGGCTGAGTTCAACATCTTCTTGGACAAAGTCTGCCCTGATGCTCGAGAGCGAGGTACCATCATCTATGTTGATGACATTCTCGTATGTCAGCGTACCTTGGATCACCACCTGTCTGAGCTGGACCATGTAATGGGTCAGCTCGCAGCTGCTGGCGCGAAGATTTCTCTCGCCAAAGGTCAGTGGTGCAGGTTGAAAGTTCAGTTTGTTGGCCTCCTTGTGGGACCACAGGGAATGCAGCCGCAACTTGGCAGAATTCAAGGTGTGGCCACCATCAAACCTCCTACGAATATCTCTGAACTTCAGAGTTTTCTAGGTGTGTGCAACTACTCTCGCCAATTCGTAGAACACTCCGCTGAGATAGCGAGACCTCTGACTGCCCTTCTGAAAAAGGATGTGCCGTTCAATTGGACTGAGCAGCAACAACGGGCTATGGACGACCTAAAGGCTGCTCTGTGCTCAGCTCCATGCCTGGCGCTTCCTGATTGTGACAAAGAGTTCCACCTTGAGGTCGGGTTCTCATCTACTTGCTTGAGTGCCGGTCTCTATCAGGTATATGACTGCGACAGGCATGTCGAGGCTTATGCTAGTAAGCTCTTGTCCGGTACTGAGTCCCGATACTCTGGCTGTGAAAAAGCTTTGCTTTCCACCATGTGGGCAGTTAAACACTTTTCCAGCTACATTGGAGGACAGAAAATCATCATCGAAACTACACATCAGCCAGTGACCTTCCTTAATGGTCAGCGCATAAGAGATGGTGTGGTGACCAATGCACGCATTGCGTCATGGTTGCTTTCTCCTCAGAGCTTCGACATTGAGGTGCACTATGCGCAAAACCGCCATAGTCCTCTTGGCATGGGTCTGGCTACGTGCCAACACTGCTCGGACGACGCTGTCGCGTCTGTCCTACGAGCAAACCCTCCCCAGACCCTTCTGAATCCCAACCACCACTACTTCGATCCAGCTCTCTGTGTGAATATGCCACCTGTGTACGTTGATGGCAGTTCCTTTCGGCATGGTGCTGAACCTAGTTCAGGCGTGGGTGTCGTTTGGTTACACGCTAACCGGAAATACTCTTGGTGTTACCAGCTGGGTTCTAAGACCTCACAGTTTGTGGAAGTGGCGGGTGTCTTGATTGTGCTACAACTTGCCGCAGACTGTGGTGTCTGCGAGATGGTGATCTGCACAGACTCGGACTACACGCAAACTATGCAAAAGAAACAGAACTCGAGGGGGGAGAACATATCGACGTAACAGGGGCAGGGCCCTTCAGAGCATCAAAAGTAAACAACAGCAATCTAAGCTGGATCCTATAAAATACAGGGAGCCAGAACAGAGAACCATACACTTAGGGATGTGCTCCTTATGTCCTTTTAACAACCAGGAAGCTGCGTCCAGCTGAAGTCGGTTGCACCATGACGAGGGAGGATATCTGGTTTTACAAAACCCAGCTATGTGGGTACATTAGCATTTATTAGCATGGATAAGATCGGTAAGCAGGTTAGAGCTGTTAAAGTGTGCATTTTTACAGTCAATCTTGGGAAATATCTATTGAAACGTTGTTGAAAATGAATAAAATTTTGTCCAGTTGAAAAAAACTGGTGGCTTCGTAACATACAACCAAAAAATCGGGTCTGAAGTACATAGGGCATGGGTCTAGCGTCTTTTGGGATGCCATGTTTCCTTCTGCCCAGCTCGGGGTCCTGCGCCTGTCGATGATGTCACACTAGACGACTGGCTGTACGTACGACTTACGGAAGTTACGTTACCAAGTTCAAAAACATTTATGCAGTAAGAAACATCAATTTAACCATTTTCTATCATGAGGTTTAGACAGTCTCTGCTCAGAAAGGAAAAAGGATGATGAAAAATGATTAGGAATCATCATATATTTTTAACAATTATTATGAGACTCGTTCACATTCTGAACACCAAACATGGAAACATCTGAAAATATTCCAATATTCCAGAATACAGTAATCCTCCCTAAAAGGTTATTGTAATGGGTCATAAGTGCAGCTGCAGGTAAATGTAGCTTCATCTCAGCTTGAATACTTTAATAAACCACTGCTAAGGGCAAACTGCTGATATGACTCTTTAATGCAGCTGAAATGTTGCAATATTATGAAATTATCTCATTACGTGTTTCTCCTCCAGCGTCCTTAAATCTTCTGGTGCCCAGATCCATTTAAAATGTACTGTTTATGTTTTTCAAACGAGTAAGGCTGTAGCATACTGGTGGCCATTTCTTCCCAGAAATAATACTTATGTTAGTAATATTACTAATAATATCTATGAAGGTAAATCTGCTAAAGTCCTTGACAGAAAACTGTTATTTAGTGGTGATTTTATTCTATTTGATGAACTTTAAGCTCAAAACCGCTGCGAGAACTTATAGCAACAGCACACTGAGTGCCGCTCTGCGTCATCGGCTGTAGCGTGCTGTCTCTGACTGTGATTGGTCAAGTGTTGACACGTGACCAATCACACCAGAACAAAGCTTGTTTGTGGACAAGAGGAATCCTCCCTCCTTTATCTGATTGATTTCCATAAGAGTGACTGAAACCCATCGCTGAAACCCGACAGGAGAACACCCCCCCCCCCCCCAAAAAAAAAACAGAAACTCTTCAGATCTACACGATTCATGTGAATGCCACACTTGGCGTCAAAAACGGCGATTTTTGCCAAAAAGCGACAAGTTTGCGGGTCTGATTATTTAGAGCAGCAAGGGTTCCAATAGGATGTCTGACCCCAAAACAACATCCCAGAACTCAGACCAGGAACGTCTCCACATGGAGAACCCGGGACCTCACCTCGTTGTCCAGGACTCCGTTCTTGTCTCGATGCGGAGCCTCGTAAGCCTCCATCTGCTGCCTGGACACTCGGGCCAGTTTTTCTGCCAGCTCCCTCCACCTGGACGCCACCTCCACCGCCGTGGTCAGCAGAACAAAGTCCAGCACCAACTTGGCAACCAGACCCTGGCAGTCCATCTTCAGCAAGGCCTGATGGGTAAGGTAAAGGAGACACAGTCGGAGGATTCATGAGCTTTTAAGTCCTGTCAGGTTTTCCCAGCCGTGTGTGTATGATGGGAACATTCTCCGAACGTCCTGCTCCTTCAGGTTCTCCAGTTATTGATGGAAAAACAAAAGAACCTCTGAGTTAGGATAAGGTTTTCCTGGGAAAAGCACTTCTGGATCACGCAGCCCAACCAGATAACAGATGAGCTGTAAAACATGAACGGATAAATAGTTCAAGGCTCTTAATTGTCACGGAGAGAAATTTAAGACTCAACATGTAACGGATCCCTAGAAAACCATCCGGAGACATCACAAAGACCGGCAGGAGCCTCAAATAAAAGCCCACAGCTGATGTTTTACCACTTTAGACGGTGTCAGATCTATCAGCACATTTCCTGTTTATGAGCTTCTCATTTTGTTGGAACTTGCTCCAGATTTTTGGGCCAGCTGACGGGAACATTTTATCCCAAACTCAGCAACTCAAGGGAGTTTTATATTCCTTTTAAACCAGCAGCGCTCGTTTCCAGCTTGTTAACGTCTGCACTCGTCTGCACATTTAGACTTGGTATTTGCTTCAGACGTGCAAGCAGAAGCTTTATGTGGTTTAATCGTAGAAACAAACAGGGAAATGCACCAGTCTGATACGAGATCTGTGTAAATCCACACCACTGTTGCTGGAAAGCGACTCAGGCTGCTGATTAAATATTTAGATCACAAATACTGGACAGCAGCGTGGATTTTCTTTACCTTTTATGAATTCATATTGGATCTAATGGACTGAAATCTCATGGAAAGTTGCTTTAATCAGACTTTAATTTCTTTAAATAAATTATTTTACAATTGTTTTATAACTCCATCATACAAATATGTATTTTATTTCTCTTAAGCACTCTAACACCAGAATAAGCTGCAACGACCAGGTCGCTGTCCTATAAGGTCTTTTTCTGTGGGTCCTCCGTCTGCTGATGCAGGCTTCACGCAGTTTTCTGGTCTAAATAAAGAGTTGGCCGAGGATGGTCCAACTGCGGCCCGTTATCAAACACGACACATTCAGACCCAAACCAGAACCAGATGAGGAAGGAGTTTCTGCTTCAAAATAAAGACGAAAAAGGTCAGAGTGCAGACATACGACATCATTAGAGAAAGATAAGAGCTGAGTCATAAGCTGGGTGTTCAAACTGGACCAGATGGGAGGTCAAAGGTCGGCATCTTTGTCAGCTGTTGTCTTAACTCGAGCAGAGTCATTTACATTGCAGCTCTTTGGACCAAACGGGAATGTTTTAAAGCTCCTGAACAAGTCTGCTGAATCATGTTTTATTCAGATTAATAAATGCTTTTTAGCTAAAACCTTTTGTATTTGCTGTTTGCTGTGAATATAGGTGCGTTTTAACAGATTTTTGAGATAGTTCTTTCAGAACTTGGTTCTATAACTGGTTTCTGAAATCCAAACCATGACTGTTCCCTCACCGTGCATTACAACAAAACGTCTACCTGAAACTCTGATGGCATTAAAGAAGCTGTTGGATATTTATGAGTAAGTCTGGATGGCTCCGCCCACTTAGAGAAAAAAAAAACACTTTATTATGCATCTCTAGAAACCAGCAAATTATCTATTTTTTTTAAAATCAACAAACTAAACGTTCTGCAGTTGAAATAATACACTCGGTTGAGTTTTTCTTTTTTTCATTACTATTTAGATTTTGACATTGAAACGTGTTTGTATGAATGAACATATTCATACAATAAACCCAGGTAAACCCTGATATTTAATCTGTGTGGTTTTGGCCGTGGGCAGGACACTGTCTCTATGGGCTAGTGGGTGGGTAACAGTACAGAAGCTGCAGAGGGGTGGGTTAAACTACGACTCTGCTTCCTGGTCTGGACCCTGGGTAGTCATGGAGGACTAATAAAACTGGCCATGTTCCTAGAGAGAAGAGCTGCTCCATCCAAAGAGGGATGGATGCCGTCTCTCCGCATCAGACCAGGTTTTCCCCAAAAAGTTTTCCAATTACCAATGTGGCCCACGTTGTTTTCAGGACACCACCTAGACAGCCAGCGGTTGAAGGACAGCATGCGGCTAAACATGTCGTCACTGGTCCGATCAGGCAGGGGGCCAGAGAAAATTACGGAGTCCGACATTGTTTTGGCAAACTTACACAGCGAAGCAACATTAATTTTAGTGACCTCCGACTGGCGTAACAGGGTGTCGTTACCGCCAGCGTGAATAACAATCTTACTGTATTTACGCTTATCCTTAGCCAGCAGTTTCAGATATGATTTAATGTCGCCCGCTCTGGCCCCAGGTAAACATTTAACTATGGTTGCTGGAGTCTCTAATGCCACGTTTCTGACTATGGAGCTGCCAATGATCAGAGTCGGCTTGTCAGCGGGTGCGTCACTGAGCGGGAAAATCTATTAGAAACGTGGACGGGTTGGTGTTAGGGCTGTCGCGTTTGAGGAATTCCCCCTGCGGTGATTCAGGGTGGCTTAATATTGCGGTGTTCGATATTATTGCAGCATTTTCTTTTTATTGCAGTACTATCTAAACATAATGTTTACACATTTAAAAAAGGTAAAAAATTGCCGTGCCTTCTTTTATAACACTTTACTGAATGCAGATCAAAGGGCAGTAACAGCACAGATCGCAGTAACGTTTGTTTCTCCGACAGTCGGAGTCCGACTGAACTTAAAAACAACAAAATTCAGGAGAAGATTAAACTTTTAAATGCACATTTGGCTGCAGCATCTAACAAATAAGAAACAAGTCCCCATTTTGTTTAGTTGTTTAAAATCACGCATAAAAATTACATGTACCGGGCGCGGGGCACTATCATTTCACTTTCACTTTCACACACACGAATGACGGTGCTTTGCTCGGTCACGTCCTTGTTACCCACAAGGAAAACCAGCATGTTAACCATATACGGTTTGAGAGAGGATCTGAGAGGGGTGGCAACATTTCCAGCAACACTGAAAACCCTCTCAGATGGTGCGCTCGTTGCACTAACGCACACGTACTTGTGTGCGACTGGCGAGCAAAGGGAATCTCTCCCAGTTGTTGCTCCACCAGGTCAGGGGGTTTTCTTTAGGGTGGATGCATTCCTCCTGCAGGTAGCGAGTGAGCTCCAGCTTGGCTCAAACTCTCTTCGGGACGGTTGCAGAAGCAGTGCTTGTCCGGGACTTCAGCAGGTCTCCGAGCGTTTATTTGTTTATTTATTTATTTGCCGCTGGTGGCAGCTCTGTCTCGGCCAAGGACCCTGGCTGCGCAGCAGCTGACGTACTGAAAACCAAAGTGCTCCCAAAGGAGCGAAGAAACGTTTCGTTTTGATACCAGTGCAGCCATCCTTCTCAACATGCATCATTAAGTTGAATCAAGTTCAGTAATCGCGGTGGCCCATGATGCAGCGCGGTGGGTTTCTTCATATTGCGATATTTCATTTTTGCGGTTACCGTGACAGCCCTAGTTGGTGGTGGCCCACGGGCTGGGTTCTATGCTTCCTGTGTACCGTCACCCAGACGGCCTGAGGTCCCGGCTGCTCGGGTTCTGCTGGAGGACCGCTACGGGGTGGTTCTGAGCTAGTTAGCCCCGTGCTAGCTAAGTAGCTACGGCTGTTTACGGGTTTTTCAACAGCGCGGAGCCGGGACCCCAATTCCGACACCCTCGCCTCCAAAGCTACAAAAATGCTACATTTATTACAGGTACCATTATCGCTAAAGGAGGCAGAGGAGTAACTAAACATCTGACACAGAGAGCAAGAGATAGGAGACGGAGAAGCAGAGACAGAAGTACCCATAGCCGTGCTGAGGCTAAGCTAACTGGACAGCAAACTGTTCAACACCAAATAAACTGCGTGCGAACTCAAATGGTTCCCTACGAGCTAGGTGGAACAACAGAAAATGTGTGTTTTAGTGTGCTTATGTGCTACAATAACTCAGAGATATCCAAGTACAGAGAAATTAAATCAGTTTTAGCGAGCCCCAAACACCAAACAGCTGCACGTAGTGCAACACTGAAAACAGGAAACAGGAAACGCCTTACCGCCAGGTGCAGCCAATCAGCCAACCAAAGCTGCTCCCGTTCTCCTCCTGCTGGTTTTCCCTCTTTTCAAACTGACAGGTGTTCCCGAGTGAAACCCGAGCTGGATTGAGCAGAACAGACATAGAGGCCCGGGGACATCCGACACCACCCGGTCAGCTCTTTCTAATGCTGAGTTTTGGGTTACCAAAGGTGAAGGTCCAAATGAGAAAGCTTGTGTCTGTCAGTGCAGCCGAACACCGTTTAATAATAGATTTTTGCTCAGGGGCTGGGAGAGTTGCTCCCGCTGGAGATCAAACAGATCCTCCTCTTTTTTTCTGTCGTCAAACTCCAATAAACTCCATACAATGTGGAAAACGACACATTTAGGAAGCTATCCTCTTCCAGACCTTAGTACGGCTGGAGTATTGAGTCTCTATGGATATTAGACGATGGGGTAAATGAAAAAAAAGTTGTCACAGACTCCATGGAAACTTTCAGAGAATCCACAAATAGTGGCTTCCAGATGGTTTTGTTACTGACCGATGTTTGTGAGTTTAGAAAAGAAGCAGATGAGACGGCGTTTCCGACAATTTTGTTTTTCGTCGGACAATATTAGAACATGTTAGTAATGTTTGAGGTGCTTTTATAAAACGGTATAATTAACACTCCCGGACAGGGTAGGAATTACACAGAAGCTTCCGGGGGAACCCAGTGATGGGAGGAGGAAGAGGAGGGGGGGATCCTTTTTGTCTTGGCCCCCAAAATGCCTTGAAACGGCCCTGGGTGTGTGACTGAGTTTTGAAGGTGATCTGAATTTTATCAAGTGTAGCGTTATGGATTGATGCTCTTTTATGAAAGAGAAACCATGCTACGTATTAATTCGGAATATTAATTTTAATAAATCAATAACCAAATTTTATATTGTTCAGAAGACTCAAAGGTTGTTTTCATCCATAAACTGCCGATAATATCTGAGTGTCTGTGTTTCAGTTCAATGAGGAAACCAGTTTGACGTTTAAAAGTTTTAATTCTTCAAATTAAACTAATGATTTTGAAATTGACAAACAGGAAATACAATCAACATTGATAACTTTGTGGGACAATCTTTTTAACAGTTGATATGCTGTTAATGCTCAAATAGACCTTCTGTAGGTGAATGAAGATTGAGAGTGATATGATGTGATTATGGATGCGTGTGGGTGCCAAGTGTAGTGAGAATTGAACATGAGATGAGATGAATTCATGTGTGCATCTGATTTTGCTTCAGGAAGAAACAGGTGTCTGAGTGAAGTGATGGTTTGAATAAACTTAGGCTTTTAGTTGGAAAAGATGCATCAAAACGCTATCTGTCGTGTTTTGCCTCACCGAAAATCGGACCCCCTGTTGGACCCGGGACGTCACCTTAGGATGTTTCATCCACGTCACCTTGGCTGGCAAAGAAGACAAAGATGCGCTGCGACCCGGTCCAGAGTTGTCCCTCGGTACACGTTGATGGTAAAGCGTTTTGTCGACGCGCTTTCTTAAGTTAATTCACTCAGAAATCAAAAGACTCGGTAATGAGTCTGCGTTAGAAGTTGCGGTTCAGCTATTCTGCCTGGCGTGGCAGAAACAGCGCGAGAGAAGGGGGGAAGAACGAGCCAACAGGCTCTGCCCCCCCTTTGGTTTTCAGGTCTGTTCTCTCTCGTTGTCCAACACGAACTGAATCAAAAAGACTGAAAACTTACCAAAAACCTTTCTCTTCTCAAAGCAAACGTGCGTCATCAAATGTGTCTGGAGTTTACTGTGAGCAGGTGTGTGTGGATGTGTGTGAATGTTTGTGCTTGAGTGTGTGTGAAGGTCAGTAACAAACATTCTCAACATTATTTAAGAATGGATTCATTAAACCATTATAATTACCCCAAAGCATAAGTCATTCATTTGATTAAACACATTTATAATGAGCAAAATGATAATGGTTATTTTAACATTAAAATCAAGAAAAAGAAGTTTAAACTTTATGTTTTGACTTGGTCTGGGTACAACTCATGTAAACACATCTTCTGGTAGACTGCAGGTGGCAGATGTTATGGTTTCCTCCCAGACTCGCTGGCGTTCAGGTCTTAATCTGTGGGTGAAAGTTCTCAGCGACCCAGCTTTGACACAGCTGAGTCCAACACCACCATTGTGACAGAAAACCCATATTTCCTCACGTTACACAAGTGTATAAATATTTCATGTGTATAGCTTGTCGTTTTATACAGGTAAAAACGTGTAGTGGAGATAAATCTACCTACATTAGACTTTTCAGACATTTTTCTTTGTTTTCTTGTTTTTATTTAATTATTTTCCTGTCCTGTCTGTCTCTCGTCTTCCTGCATCTCCTCTAAACTCTCCAGAAAAACTGCTGCCTGGATTCTTACTTTTTCACCTCATCAGTTACTTTTGAGCAGATCAAAGGGATCTCCTGACCACAAAGCAGAGTGCGCATTTCGATGCTGCGTCAGTGAGGTGAAATCACCGCAGCACACGATGAGCAGAGCGCGTCAGGAATGATTAAAAGACAGAGTACCAGAGGATTTAAACAGATATGAATGATCATGTGTTAATAATAATGTTTTGTTGCGCCCCCTTGAGAATGCATTGTGCGCCGTACGCAGCGGGTGCACCAACGATCAGCGCTCTGCGTCCTCTCCGCTCAACAGAATCCCGCTACGCTGAGAGTCCATAAATATTGTAATATAGGTAGAAACTGGATCTTTCCCTGAAAGAGATCCCTGCTCCTGTATGAGAAACCGTACATTTTGATCAAAGTAGGAAACACCCCCCGGACGCCCCGGACAGAGAGTGAAAAGTGGACATGTCCAGGGGAAAGAGGACGTATAGTCACCCTAAGTAGGAGCCCACCATGACCTCCAGGATTGAGCATTGTTTGATTTTGAACAATTCCGATTCCGATTCCAATTCCTCGTTTCGATTCCGGTTCCTATCGATTCCCGATTCCGATTCTTTCAAGACATGACAAGCTTTACATGAGCCAGCTAACCACAGGTCCTACTTGATGTAATGATCTTAACTTCAACATGAATTTTAATTCTATGAACAACAACATCACCTTCATTTAGACAGAAACATGTTTTGGAGAAAAAAAGAAAAAGACTTGCAGCACAACCTGTGTGTTTGTTTCTGACCACAACCAAAGTCTGGCAGAAACCTCTGGGATGAGAGGCTTAATGTCTCCAACATATCCAGGAACGTCCAGCTGTTTTCAGCTAAAACTCTCAGGATGATCATGTCCAGGATGACTGAGAGCTACACCTCCAAGCTGCAGCAGCATTCAGTCAGAACAGGAAGTGAAACTTAAACGTAGCTGCTGTCAGTAACAATCTAACAGATTTTAAACATTAAAACTCTATTACTACTCTAAATAGTTCAGAAAGGAAATTAAAATGTTCACAACTTTGTGTGTGATTTATTATTATTATTATTATTATTATTATTATTATTATTATTATTATTTATTGTGGCAGAAGCTGGTGTGGTCCACCACAGAGAAGCTGCTCTAGCATGATGACTTTAATTATTCTACAGGTGTTTGTTCAGTCTTCTGACGCTCTGTGTGTGTTTTTATTTCTGCAGTGAGACAAACTCACCTCACACCGTCCAGAGTTTGTTCTTTAAAGCTTCTATTAAATCCACCGTGTTGACGTATGTTAACAAGTTTCCTCTACGCTGCAGGAGTTAAAGTTTACATTATGGAGTAAAAGTTGGTCGGACGCGTTTGTTTAGATTTGGCCGCTGCATGTGGGGTGGGGTGGGGTGGGGGTGGGGGTGGGGTCGGGGGACTTGGTGCTGCACACAGACAGCTGGTGTGATCAGCTCTGAAAAGTGTTGATCACAATTTGCAGATGACGTTTATTTTTCACGGAGATCGGCCGCAGATTCCTCTTCCGTCGGCACGCTAGGAATCAAAACTAGGAATCTAAATAAAAAACGTTGAGCGATTCCGGGAAAAGTGAACAGTTGGAACCGGTTCCAATCGATGCTCGATTCTCGATGCCCAACCCTAAATTCACCTCCATCATAAAAAAGGCCCAGCAGAGGATGAACTTCCTGAGGCAGCTGAAGAAATTCTACCTGCCAGCACAGTTGATGAGGCAGTTCTACACCGCAATCATTGAGTCCATCCTCACCTTCTCAATCACAACCTCGTGGTCTGCTGGAGCCACCACCAGGAACAGGAAGCTGCAGGTGTACACGACCTGTACACCTCCAGGACAATGAGGCGTGCAGGTCAGATCGCAGCTGACCCGTGTCACCCTGGACACAGTCTTTCTGACTCGCTCCCATCTGGCAGGAGGCTCAGATCCATTCAGACCAGAACTGAGCTCTGCTGTTGGACTTATGGATGACAATCCTAGCACTGCCCACTCCAGCGGCTTGGTTTCCATTACATGACCCGGTGTTGTGTTTGCACCTGAACTGTTGCGCTCTGACCTGTACCTACACTGTCTTGTACATAGTAGCCATTTCTCTAATTATTGCCACTTAATATTAATTTTCATCATGATAATATTCTTACTTCCTACATTTGCTTATCTCTTATTTTTACCTTTCTTTTTAGTTCCGCAGCAATTTTCTAATGTTGTCATTTCTCGCACATATGGCAATAAAACCTTCTGATTCCGGTTGAGCTAAATTCATGATGCATCCTTTGGTCAGGGGTACACTCACACTCTCTATCTGGGCCTCACTGCTCTCTGTAGCTGTTTCCTGAGTACGCAGGGGAGGAGTACGGCATAAACAAAGCTCTAGTCAACAGCTACGGTGAAAAGGCTCGCTAAAACACACACGAACGTCTCCAAATAATAAAAGCCACAAAGCCAAATGAAACGTTTAGAGCAGAACATTGACCCCCTGATCGAGCAGACGAGTGAGAAGACGTGGAACGACCACTTAGAGACGGAGCTAGCTAGTGGCTAATGCTAGCGGCTTGACGACATAATAGGGTATGACGTGCTTCAAAGATTCACAAGCCAACACACTGCCTTAAACTTGCTCTGACTGGTTCATCGGTGGGTCTGTTGTGCTGACAGAAGCAGAATAACAAATAGCGTGACTCAGCTGAAAAAAAAATGTGTTCTTGTAGACGTGTCCAGAAATAATGGCGCTGACGATGGAATGCAAATAGACGGTTCTACGATCTCCGAGGTCTGGTGGATTATAATCACTTTATAATCCTTAACTCATTCACTGCCAATGACGAATTAGCATTTTTTTTTTTTACTGTGTGGGCATCGGAACGAGCCCCCGCACCGCGAGAACAAACATCTCAGCTCTAACGCCGATCTTCATCCACGTGCATCACAAGTCACGTGATCAGGAAGCAGAAAATCCATGTGTTAGGAGATCTTTTTGGGCCGCTGCTGTAAAAAAAGTGAGGTGCGAACCGGAAAAGCGTCTGCCGATCACAATTCAACAATGGATTATGAAAGAACGGATAAAACTCAAAACGAGCGGATTCTTCCTGATGTAAGAGGTGAGTCTCCTCTTTGTTTTGGTTGTTTTGGTGTCGACGACATCCTAGCGCGCAACATTCTGTGACTCTTAAAAAACAGTAAAAACGGAGAGAAACGCTGGCAGCGAATGATTTAACAATCTTATAACGTCAGATTGCACGGGCCGCACGGCCCTAATTTCCAGAGGTTAACGGTAAAAGTGACAAATTGTCTCTTTGGGTCGTCCGAAGCAACGGAGAGGTTGGAAAAGGAGTGAAGAAGCGTGCGGAAGCAGTTAAGAATGGGTGGAGAGAAGTATCCGGTGTGATGTGGGACAAAAGG